CTTTTCGAAACGTTGTACATTTGCTGTTATGTTAAAATTATAATAAAGTTTTCCTCATTACCCATTCAACCCGTCTCCAACCATTATTAGTCTCAAAGTGGGTTCCTTGTTGTCAAATTACTGATGAGAATGTTACATTTATTTTATGAGTACAACGTTTTGTTTATAAAAGTGAGGAACTCACATTATCACTTGCAATATTCAAAGAATTAATGTACAAATATGGTAAGAACTTTCAAATTACAAACACATTTGTACTCAAATATTGGAGGTGATTATGCCACACTTTTAAAGATGAAATATTGTGTTTAGAAAAATAAAAACTACATTCCCACCATAAGCTTCCTCAAGAACCTTACAAACATATGCATGATTACTATAGCATTTCACATGTAAATATAAAAAACATCATACACATTGGAGTGAACATTTGTTTAACAATGCGAAACATATTGTAAATCTACAAACATATGCATGAGGTTAATATTTGAACAATTATATATCTTTTGGAAAAATATTATTATGCCATTATTTTACTTTTAAAAGTATATTTAAAATAAAGAAATGTCAATAAAATTGAACGCTTTTGACGAAAACTGCAATCTCGCAAAATCTACTAAAAAACATTTTGTACAATATACTAAAAGCTTATCAAAGTTTTAAAATAAGCCTAACATTAGGTTGTAGATGAACTATACAAGTTTATTTATTGATAGTAACGAGTATGGTAAAGTTTAGCCCTAACTAAACTAAAAAATTGCACAAAATTAGTGTTAATTTATACCTATGGAATAGAAGTCGTACATAATAAAGGCGTAACTAATGTTAAGCCTTGGTACTAAAATATATTTACATCCGCTTTTTGTTTTCATCCTTTGATGTAAAAAGCGTATGCATGCATATTTAGACAGTAAGGTGCTCGCACATTTTCAAAACGGACAAAACTGAGTATTATTATAGTAAATTAACGATCTACTTTCAAGCATTTAACAATATTGTTTATGTAGATGCTATACCGTGTAAAGTAGAAACCTTCATAATTACCAGAAAAGTAAGTACTGTTATTTTTAAATTTGTTTCTATTTTGTACGCATAGTATATAAGTACTCGCACCTTCTCAATCGGTTGATGTATCCTACATCACCCGAGAAGTTCCGATTGGTGTAGTAAGGCGTTTGTCGTCACTCTAACCAATAATATTTAAGTTGCAATACATTAGAACCAATGAAATGTTTCCGAGCGTTCTTTGAAATTAAGGTTAAAAAAATTGTTTCGTGATTGCAGATTCTTTTTAAATTATTCAGGTATGTATAAAATATGAATATTTTTTTATTAGAGAATAAGTTTATACTGAATATAGTTTTGTATGTTATTGAAACTCATAAGTAAACATTTTTAATTTAGTGCTCTGATTAGTGAATCATTGTAAGTATTTTGACGTGGCTTAAGCCTAACATCAATAAACTTAATCGCGATAAACTTATGCATAAATTGACTTGTTTATGTGTAAAGAAATTAGGCCTAAAATATGTTACTTAGGTACTGTAAATTGTAATAGAGTAGGCCTGATATTGTGATAATAAACTGCGTTGTTTGATCGCACTAGTATAAAAGACTTACTTAAGGAAGGAACATCGGTTATCAATGGTAAATTCAAAGAGATTCAGTTGTATTACACTAATAGTAGTAGTAATGCTAATACAAAATTCGATTTTATAGAAGTCTGTGGTACTGGTACTACAGTGTTAGTGGTACCAAACTTCAGTCTAAAGACTACAGTAACGTTAGCTGGAGTATTGTGGCGCTCCCTCTTTTTCATTATGACTTTGAGCCATTGCCACAGTATTTACAATATTCACAGTTTTTTGAATATAATGTTTGGGGTAATGGTATTTGGTTGGTTTATTAATATCAAATTTAATATTTCATCTATAAACGAATCTGTCAACTCACGGAATGTTTTTGGCAGTGGACCAGTGATTATTTAACCATGTAAGCAAACAAATTACATCCGCAGTTTTGCAATTACTATGCCATTATTGGTCAATGAGTATGATGTCATAGTTAAGATTAATAACGAGAATTAGTTCAACATAGCGTTTCTGTGTGAAAGGCGATTAAATTTTTTGTTACTAAATGAACAAATAATCTACCTATGGCCTGTTTCTTTCCTTGGTCTTCCTTTGACACACTTTATAATACCTGACCTCAATCCTCTTTCTGTCTGAGGCTATTCACGGGAACCCTGTGGGGTTTTCTTGGGACATCCTCTTCCCTTCCACTGTCGGCTGCATGTTGTCTTTAGCTTTGGCCCTACACACGTAGTTCACTTCTCTTTCAGACTTTTTGGGTCACAATGCTATATTTTCACGGACCCGTTGCCAAGCTCCATATATATGGGACCTTCTTATGGCCCTGTTTTTACGACGTTTCGAGTATGACACGATTATTGTGTTCTTGGAGTCATGGGCAACTTCTGTCCAACAGTGATCCACCTTTCACATCGAGGGCCTCTTTGGTCTCTTTCGGAGCTGTGTGTGGCTCCGAGTCCTGTTTCGCGACCCTACCTTTCACAGCTCTACCTGCCACAGCTTTCCGAAGTACAGGAGTTCGCCATTTGTCGCGGTCATACACGGTATGCAGTTATTGGTTTTGGGGACTGTCTGGTGAGTCCGAGACAGAGGGTAGCTTTTTTGGCAAATTTCGTTCCACGGAGCAACCCTTTCTTCTCCGAAGTTCAGGTTCATGTTGTTCTATCAGAGGGTTTTGTCATACCAATTTCTTTCCTTCTCCTCAGGATCCCTGGTCATGACAGTGTTTTCCAAGGCAGTATGCAAACCTCTTTATCCACAAGTTGTTGAACCTGCTCTATGTGGGTCATGCGAGTTTTACTCCTGCCAGTTTGCTCGTCATGGGGTAGTATACCTTTTTAGCACCCTGTCCTTTGGTCTGGCTTCTGCACTATATGATTTTGTTGAGTGGTTCACTCCCTTTGCAGAAGAACGTTCTCTTCAACATCCTAGAACTGTTGGCTGTTTGTCGGGCATGGAATCATTTTCTTTCTATCATCAGTGGTCACCTGGTTATGATCCATTCCAATAATTCTAGAATGGCAGCATATATATATCACCAAGGTGGCACCCGGTTCGAGATCCCTGTGTTCTCTCACATTGAATCTTCTCTATTGGGCCCACTCCCATCACATGTGTTAGTTGGCATGCCATATTCTGAGTGCATTCAATTTGGTGACAATCGTATTTCCCAACCAGATTCGGTTTATCCCATGAAGTGGTTTTTACATCCTGCTGTTTTTGGTGGTGCTGTCATTGGTTGGGTGCTCCCCATATTGATGCATTTGCCAAGACCTTCAAACACAAATTACCTCAGATTTGGTCCCCAGTTTCACATCCTAGGGCTTTGGGAACAGAAGCCTTCAGTCTGAATTGGTCCCACCTGTTTCTTTCTATATATCCTCCTATCAGATTACTTCATTAGGTAGTCTCCCTCATCCATGCCACTCCATGCAGAGTCCTTCTGATTGCTCCTTACTGGCCCACTCAACCATGGTTCCCTCAGTTGCTTTGGTTCCAGTGATCCCTTCCATCCCTCTTCTCTTACTTCCAGACCTGTTACATCAAACCCAGTCACTGGTTCTACATCCCGCTCTTCGTCTTTGCACCTGGCTTTTGTCCAGTCCCTAGTGAGGAGTTCTGGATTCTCTTGCTGAGTAGCTTGCCATTTAGCCCATTCTATTTGTCCTTCTTCTTTGGATTTTTACAGACTGATGTGGAATATTTTTCACTCCCGGGCTTTGGCACAGGATTTCCCGGCTTCTCGACCTGTAGTTTCCAGCATCTCAGAATTCTTTACCTGGCTCCTCAATTTTGGGTTTTGAGGCAGCCTTATCCCATACCTTCTATTTTTTCCCATTTTCACAGGGTATTTTCCTCTCCAGTCCTTTCCAAATTGATCTGCTCTTTCCAGCTCCATCTGTCGCCAAGACTTCCGTCATTTCCAACTGGGATATTAATGTGGTCCTCCATGCCATTACTTTACCTCCATTTGAACCCATTTCTTACTGTTACTTGTTTCACCCTTCCCTTAAGGCATATTTCCTTCTCCTATTGGCTGCGAGTGTGATGGATCAGATATTTTCGCTCTTGATGTCATCAGGACCTTGTATCATTCAACCTATCTCATCCTTTATCCGGATCCTACATTCTTTCCCCAGATCTTGGCGGCTCACAAGGGTCATTCCTATTTCTTCCTGTTACTTGTTTCACCTCTCCCTTAAGGCATATTTACTCCTCCTATTGGCTTGCAGGCATCGTGGGTCAGATATTTTTATTCTCGGTGTCACCAGGACCTTGTATCATTCAACCTACCTCATCCTTTATCCAGATCATACATTCCTTCCCCAGACCTAGGCATCTCATGAGGGTCATTCCTTCTTTTACCCTATCTTCCTACCCTCTATCACTCCCCTTGTCCTGATCCGGATAACTCCTCTGCCCAGACATGCCCACTGTTGTTATATTGCATGCACTACTTTCTTCCGGGGTTCTCTTTCCTGCTTCTTTATCCCATGGCAAACTTCCTCTTCCTGTGATCTTTCCCCTGTTACCCTGACCAATTGGATTTATCCTTTGTTCTAGTTGGCTTATTCCTCCTTGTCCCCCTTCCCAGCATGATCTCTCTCCCGTGACTTTCCATAAAATCTTATGCCTTACCTTATCCTTTGCTTCTTGTCTTCATCGGCAATTGGAGAAGATTCTACAGTTGGGCATGTGGACACTCTGCACGTTCGTCTCCCCTTACTTGCACCATATCACGAATTCTGCTTCCCTGGGGTATTTTCTGCCACTTGTAGCTATTCTACAGACTTTCGCATGGCTTTGATACGAAGTAAATCCTTACTTGTGTTTTCTTTTCCTTCAGGGGTCCTTACTTCAATTTTACTTTGGATCCCACTCTGTGGTGAGTGGTGCCTGACCAGGTATTCTTTCTGAACACTGAATGGGTTCCATTTAGATGGCTATAACTATTATCAGATTTATTTATACTCAAACAAACAAAAACACAAATCTGCTCTGTATGCCAAGTTGGAACAAGCACTTTGTCCATGGCTATGAAACGCTCGCCCTTGAGATTGGGTGTTTCACAAGATTACTAGTGTGGATAACCACGTGATGTTTGCTTCATAAAAATGCCCATTACGGACTGTACCACCCACGCACGGCATGGGTAAAGCAGAGGGGATTGAAGCCTATCCCTACCATGCCTGGACTGAATAAGTAGGTATGCTTGGCTTTTCACAATAGGGTTTTGCACTGTCTCGGGTGTAGCAGTTCATACGGACTTTCCAACGCACTTCTTCCCCTCCCTTTTTTCCATTGGAGTACAGGAGTCCTGATCACTCATCATTTTCAAGCCTCTGGGTTGGTTGACCATGTAGGCAACCTGCTGAATGGGTTCCACAAAGTTGGCTATAACCATTCAGTTCAGAGTAGGGTGGTAGTGTTCTACCAGTATAGGAGTTACAAGATCCTCCGAATGAATAACGCATGCCAGGAGTGAGATGTCTAAATGGAGTTCACTCCTCTGATTGGGTGCCTTCCTGCTACCCTTGTGTATCGGAAGTTATAATTTTTCTATACGACTGCTTTGCAATGTAATCATTTGGTTATTTGGGCTTTAGGCCTATCGACTGCCAAGGTCATTAAGGCTATCAATGTTCTGAGATTCCTCACCATTACTGACGATATGAGCGGCATTTGATTGGTTGTTGTGCAATTGCACAGCTTAGAGGGAACACTGACTGTAAGTATATAGAAATTATTTATTGGAGTTCACACTATTGTATATGTATTGAAGTACTGTTTCCTCTTATTTTTCTTGAAAAACATGATGTGAATTTTTTTATATATGTTATTTTCCATTCCTTTAGCAGACCCTCTCAAAGTATATAAATATTTCCTTTAAAATTGTTCATAAGCTTTCTTTGGTTGAAGGTGTCTTTGTCTGTAGCATCACTTAGGCATTGTGTAGCCAATGTTATCTGTTGGTCAAGACCAACAGCTGCATATCTGCTTATATTTGATACTGGGCTTCTTTATCCTAAGCATATACTTCTATAAAAAGTAACACAGTTATTTACAAATGTGTTTGAACTAGCCAAAAGATGCCCAAAACTCGGTCCAAACAAGAAACCTTTGGTGTTGGTGATGATGTGATTGCTAAGTGGTCTGGAAGCAACTTGTTCTACAATGCTACTATCTTGGGAAAGACTGGAAGTTTTTATGATGTCCAGTTTGAAGATGGATCAGTCAGCACAGTTGAGCCAATTAATGTAAAAGTAAGTTCTTAAATTTAGAAAGCTGTACTAAGTTGTAAATTTTGTGTGGACTACATAGAAAGATTAAAGTTTTAAATTGGTGTTCAAGGCTTAATATATATATATTTTCATGTGTGGTATATCTTGTCACATCTGAAAAGGAACAAAGAGTTAGGTGATAGAAGGTCTTTGGTTTATCACTCACCACTTCAAAAAAAAAAAAAGAAAAATCAAAGATTTATCTCTCTATTCATGTACCAGGACTCAGTTTCAACAAGGAGTAAAGAGAAATTACTAGTTCAAATTTTTCATTTTCTGGTTGAAAAAATCCTCAAAATTGAATATTGCTACCAGTAAAGTGTAATATAATTCTGTAATTCTTGTTGTTATATGTATGTCAAGTCCATACAGTTTACACTTCAGTCATTTCATATACATTGATATTGATCATTTAGTGAGTAACTTGTCATAAGGCCATGTTTCTTGGAAAATCATTTAGTCAGAGAATACAATATTACTTTTTGATAAATATCTCCAGGAACTTCCTGTTATTCTATTAACTTATCTTGTCACTCAGGTGTTAATAAGTTTTATCTGCATGCACGTGTATGTTCTTATTCTAACTAGCTGTTAACCCTTAATATATATAATTTTAATTTGAAACATATGAAACAACGATTTAAATTATATGAACCTGTAATATTTTAGGTGTGCTGGCAATACAGCTTTTTATGTTAAATTTGAGCAGGTTACAGCAAAATTTCCATATTCTTTGGAGCACAGACTCCAAACCTTCTGGAAATCTGGAGGATTAATTTGTTTTAATCCAGTCTCTGGTAAATGTACAGTCGTCTACTTTCACCTCACGATTCCTGTATAGCAGTGAATAAAAACAACAAACCCATTTTAGTGAATATAACAGGAATAGTGCACATAAGATTTTTTTTTTTTTTTACATACATTGATATGGCACTCAGACAGAACTGGGTTTAAACTCAAAAAAGATGTGTTAATAATGGTACTTGGTAAATCAAAATTAACTATATATTTCATTATCACCATACTAGTGATTTACTTAAATTTAAGATGAGAGAAGGCTGACATAAGAATGTTCTTGTTTGCTCTATAGTAAAATCTTCAGGGCCCAACCAAATTCTTTAGCATACAGTGCGTGTGTTCATCTGGGCAATTATTCTGCAATCCTGTTCCTGAGTTTGAATATTGACTTAATCAAAATGTAGTCTTACAATGTTAAAACTTTGTTTTGTCTTGGTGGCTTGAGTAAGTAGTTAAGTTTTTGATGTTACTTTCTTTCATCTCTGTGAAAACAAACACAACACTGACAAGAGCTTTTTAACATTGATATAACTGGCTGGTTACAAGGTGAAAATATTCTAACAATGATCAATAAGTAATAATTATATCCTATAAAAATAATTTAACATTGGTATCACAATTTAAGCTATAATAAAACAGAATCTTCAAGAAATGGAATATGCCAAAGTAAAAAAAATAAGTACAAGAGCATAAAATAAATTTCAACAGAGAATACTCTGGCAAAAGTTACCCAAGAGATACTCTAACAAAGATTAATTTCAAAATCACATAATACACATTAAACAACTTTAACATAAATTGATTAATATTTACAATGCAAGATGCTACATACATGACACCAGAACAAATAACACATAGTAATATAAACCCATTAATCTGAAACAAACATAGTGCAAAATTACAAGATTACAAAAAATCTACTATTTGACCCAGCTAATGGAGTAACACATTTCACATAAAATCAATAACAAAACACAGAATGTTTACCAATAAAAAAGCAGATAAAAGAAAAACACTTTATAATGGTCAATTTTAATCATTTTGCAGGAAAACAAAAGCAAAATAGAAATTAACTAAAATAAAGAATAATCTTTAATCACAGTACATACTAATCACATCCCTTTTTAAACATAAGTTAAATGATAACCAATACCCTTTAAATACAATAATGCAATACTAATCAAATAGACTATTTGAACTACTTAGTAAAAAATGTAAGGCCTAGCACAGTTATGGCTTGCACTCTCAAAGAATGTGCAGGTCATGCACTTTTCTCATGGTGTTTGTGACATGTGGCTAAGGAGCTCTCCACTGTGATTTGTTGCTTTTGATTGGAAGATTACTGTTCCAGTGGGTACAAAATACAGAAATAAAACCACAAAATTAAAAAAAAACAGGTCTCAAAAGGTTAACAAGTGAAACAAGGTAAAAGACTGATGGTCAAGCAAAACGATGCATTCAAAGATTTAAAATAAAAATAAGGTATTATTCATTTTATTTCATATTTTCAACTTTTCATTTCATTGTATATTGTTGATTTCACTACTGTTAGTGTTATGGTAGAGAAAATTTCAGATAAAATATAAAGTTTTACTGAAAAAATAACTATTTATTTAGGAGGTTCTAGAAGTTAAGCAAATAAAAACGAAGATGCAAAAAAGTATTTTTATTCTTAAAATTAAAATCACTTTGTACTCAAATTAATTTAGTAAATGCGTGAGACATTCACATACAAATCTTAAATAGAAATGCTGTGTTATAAATACTGATTTCTTTTTTTTTATCTATAACAGATGTGAATGTTTAGAAATACTTTATTAAAAATTCTGATCTTTCGTTTACAACAGATTTGAATGTTTATCAAAAGCTTACCAAATTTCATGATGATGCACAATGAATTTAGAAATATAGTAAACATTGTTGTGTATAGCTTCACAAAAACTGGGTTGATCCAATAAATCAACACCATGTAAGTTCCTTATGATGAATAAAGAACCTTAAAAGTATTGTACAGGTTAACAAATATGTTGATAACAATTTTAAACTGTGTTATAAATTAAAGTATCTCTTGGGAAGTTATTGTTTAAACTTTGATGAAAGTAACGTTTTGACTACTGATATTCTGTAAGCTTGTATTTTTATTATTTTGTGAGCAGAAACGAGTAATACACACCAAAGCCAGTCGTTCACCAGGAAGAAAACAAACTTCTCAAAAAACACAAAGTCGTAGCAGCAGCAAAAGACGTCTAAGTCGTAGTAGAAGTAATAGAAGGTCCAGTCGCAGCAGCAGTAGAAGTAGATCAAAGTCTCGATCGAGGAGAAGAATAAAGAAGGAAGTATCGCCCTCTAAGAAGAACTTGAAAAAACCTGAAGAAATCCCAGAAATTAATTTGATAGAAGAGGTTTCAACACTAGCAGCACAGACTTTACCAAAACTGAATTTACAGCAGACTCACGAAGTATGTATTTATGAGAGAAAAAAAGATGAATATGTGATTAAATTGTTAAACTATAACATTTTTACCAAGTCTAATCCAGAAATTCTATAAATGTGTATCATTTATATCAATACATACTAGTGAAATTGGAACAGCATGTGCCACAGCTCACTTATTGCATTGATGAGAATGTCAAATTTTCTGAGATGTAGCATTGACTAAACTACATATATACTTACACATATGCTACAAAATTCTGAAAGCAAAGTTTATGATGTCCAGTTTGTTTGTAGGTTGGAGAAGTTGGAGGGTATCCAAAATAATAGTAAAAGAGATAGAAAAAGAGAAGCATAAACTGTGGAAAATGGATAACAGATATAAAAAAAGGAACTTAAGCTTTTACTTGCAAGGTATACATTGGCTAACCAGACTTTCAGGAAGTTAGAAACAGTATTCAGGCTAGAAGTAGTTCATTTAATTGCAATTTGTAGGTTCTATTAAGTAACAATTTTCAGCCTTTAGCTTGTGCAGTTGAGGAATTAGGGGGAGGGGAAGGAGAATAAAAGGGACAAACAGGGATAGTAATGCAAAACTTGATGTTGCAGTTTTAGGTGATTTTTTTTTCTTTTTTGATACCATACATAGATAGAATATTCTGTGTGGTAAAAAAAGAGAGAAAAAATTAGATTATGCTATCTCGAGGCAGGGTTGGAGGACATAACTGTTCAATAAATATAGTAAAGAGAGCTAGTAATGATTAAGTTTTTGTTGTGCGTATTGGGGCTAATGGTGTAGAGAAGTGTAGGTCAGAGGAGCTGATTGATAATTACACTAGATTGATAAAGGCATTTAAAAAAAGGATCAGAATAATTCTCTCGGGGACACTGCCAATACTTAAATATGGGTATAAGATCAGAAATAGGTCACTAGGGCTTAATTATGGGCTTAGGTTAATGAAGAAGGATGAGCAGATTGGCTGGTTGGACTTACGAGATCAGTTTGATGAGAAGTTTTTCAAATGGATGATTTATACTTAAATAGGGTAGGGGCTGGCTTGTGTATAGGGCTCTTAATTCAACTGTAAGGGCAGCTAAGACCAGTGGTTCTCAAACAGTGCGCCCCAGAGCTTTTTTAGGTGCGCTCCGTAGCATTCCTGAAAAATCTATCCAGATATGAAAAGCAAATGTTTACTAAATTACTATATTATACCATTTCTTTACGAACACTCTTCTTGTTTCGTTGCAACATTATTATGATAGTTATAAGTTACTTTTCTTGCAACTAGCTTCTGGTCCGCAAGTTTTGCACGCGCTTAAAACACGTAACAAACGTGGCTGGAACGGCATGTTAACACCGGCACTAGCTTTCATCACGTGGTAACTGGCAGTGTTGCATAACAGGCGTTGGTGAGTGGGCGTGTCGTGTCTTGTGAACTGCCATCAAGAGTAAACGTATTGTGCCTTTTACAAGTTTCAGAATAATTACCGTTGATATAATTGTCTTTGTTAAG